AAAATTTAAATAGAACAAGCGCTCAAGTCGAAAATATGCTGAATTAAAAAACATTATTCGACAAATGCTCGTTTCTTTAAACGAAAATCCGCATAAAAAGTACAGTCATACTCGCATAACACCGTTATTGTTCCCAATAACCGCACGTGACGATATTATCTTGAAAATAGGGTCAAAGAGACGAAATACTATTGTACAAAAACATAAAGTCAATGAGAAGAATGACAATAAAAGTCAAGTATTTAGTAATTAATCATGTACATACGTCGTTATGCGGGTACATAGTATACCAAGTATGATTGAAAATGCAGAGTATATGCCGATAGTTAGATAGATAGTAAAGGTAGAAATGCAAGAAGCAGAAGTAGAAAATAGTGTTAAGCGTTGTGAATGCATTTTTCGATGTTAGAGTAAAACGTAAAAATTAGAGAAACAAACATATGTACATAAATAAAAAACAAATATTAAAAAAAAAAATTAATAAAAAATAATTATAATAAAAAAAATTAAGTAAACATAATAATAATAAGGTAAATAATTAAAAAAGTAGTAATGAATTTCAAGCGATAATAATAAAAATACAAACTAAAGAGTAAACATAACAAGAAATAAAAAAATTAAATTTAAAAATTTGATGAAAAAATTAAAAAAAAAACATTAAAAATAATACTAAGAAATAAAAATAGATAATAATAAAAATATAAAATTAAAGTGTAATTATAACTAAATTAAACAAAAAAAAAATAATTATAATAAAAAATGTAACAATAAACAAAATACAAAAATAATAATAATAGTAAGAAAATATAAATATAAAAATAGATAACAATAAAAACTAAAAATTAAAAGAGTAATTATAACTAGAAATATAAAAAAAATTATTGTAATAAAAAAATTAAAAAAAACTATAAAAATAATAGTAAAAAAATTTAAAAATAAAAATAATATTGTATATGTACATATATATATATTATTGCTTAATCTTGCCGCTTTACTTCTTTTATTTCCATTTTTCCAACCAAATCGCTTCCCAAAACAATGGAAGACGACACTGGTCGAATAGTCGGCCTACTGATATGGCATATCTTGCGTTATTTTCTAGTTGTTGCTATTATTTTACGAGTGGCATGCTACCAGTGTTACGACGAGCAGTTAGTTGTGCCAGAAATGAGAAATGATTGAATTACGAAAGCGCATATTTCATACTGTAAAATCTACACTACAACAACTATAAAACACAAAACATACGGCAAAACAAATTACAAACAACAGCTCACTGTTGTTGGAATACAAGAGAAAGAAGAAGAAGAAAAAGAGGGAACAATACAAAAAAAATATCAGTTATATTATATCGACTGGTGAAACTACTGACCAAGAAGAAAAAGAAAAAAAGAAGAAGAAGCAACAACGACAGCAAAAGAATTGGGTAATCGCACCGGTAACAGTTTGCTCCAGTTTATGGCATGTCTTCGTCAAACGTAGAAGAATTACGCTTGTATAGAAGCATAAGAATGTTAGAAGAAACAATTCTTTGAAGAATCGCTCATGATGATGAGCTGAAAAAAAAACGGTGTAAGAAAGTCGGCTGACACTAAACGGTTTCTTTTCTTCGCTTGTGCATGCCTACATACATACATATGTGGTTACCTGTTTACCTACTACTCTTTAAAGCCACGTGACAAGACACACACCGTAAGAAGAGCTTTTACTATAACAGCATATTGTGAAGTGAAATAAAAAATAAAAGCTTGCACTTTTTAATGTTAACGGTGTTGGAGTGATCGAAAATTGTACGGTTTGTTAGAGAAAAGCAAAATCTTGGAGCCGTTGACGAACGCTCTTGCACTTTCAAGCTCTTTTGTAGCAGATAGTGGGTAAAATAACTGTAAAAAATGACAAAAAAAAATGCTTGAAACATCTGGGATACAATTTTGAAGCTTACCACTATTTAAAAATTGGAATACATTCTTTAAAAATCGTTAGCGGTGCCTCAAAGCTCTGAGAGTTTATCAAAGCTTAATAAGCTATAAGGTCATCATTTTAAATTCTGACACCGTTTTGAAGCTCAGTATTAAAGCCTTTTAATATACGTTTAAGCTTTAAAGTTCGCATTGGCTTTGTATTAAATTAATAAATATAATAACTAAAAGCATAAATCTTTTCCAAGCTCAGTTGAAGCTTACAAAAACATATCATTTGACAGGAAAAGCCCTACGTAATCTGAAAGCTCCAAAAACATTCAGAAGTAAAACACAATTTAAATAATTTTATCGGAAAGCTATGAAAAGCTTTATGTAGACAAGCTGCCAACAAAAGTTTTGAAAATCCTTATGGAAAATCTGTAAAAAGCTTGACAAAAAAATCAATTTTTATATCAATTTGAAGTTTGGAAAACATTCAAGCTTTGAATGAGCCTTTTTCTTAAAATTTCAATTTGAAAGCTCTGAAAATCTTTATAAATAAGTCTTAGTTTGGCTTATTGGAAAAGCGGCGAATAAATCTAGGAAAATATATATGGAAAGATTCATGTGAGGTGTTATGCAAAAGCTGTGTAACGCTTTAAGTGAAAGTTTGGAAAATATTCATTTTTTTTTTTAAATTTCAATTTGAAAGCTCTAAAATTGTTTAGGAATATAATTCAGTTCAGATAGCTAATAAAAGGTCTTGGAAAATATTTATGACAAGTTTCAGATGAGCAATCGCAAGCTCTAAAAATCTTTATGAGAAAGCTCTAAAATACTTTCAGTGTTGAACTTAATTTTGATAACTTAAAATGAAAGCTTAGAATTATTCATTCCTATAAAAAAGTGTTTAAAATCTCGCAGTAATAAAAGGACTAGTAATAGAAAAAAGTAATTTATATTAAAAACAAAAGCACGACACACACGCAACCACAGTATTGTAATTTTTCAAATGGCAACAAATAACACCAATCAACCAACAACTACTCATAACTTGTGAGCATTTGAGAACTGCCTTAAAAGAGCTGGAAAAGACCAGTTGTCAAGCCAAGCTCAGCGTCATTTTCCCCTCGTGGTTATTTGTATATACATACGTGTACATATACACATAAGTGACGCAGCCAACAAGTCTCTTTAGCAACAAGACACCAATCACCGACAAAGGAGATTATGTCAGCGCACAAAGACTTGCTTTTGCGACACCGATGGCTACCGGTGGATTTCACACTACCATATGACCATATGACCAAATGCACACAAACTGTGGTTTCAGCAAGCCAAGTCAAGTCAAGTGACGAAGCTCATGCTGTATGTAGTTTGCGGCTGCGCACAACGCATGCACGCCCTCAACCACAACAGCTAAGGCAACAGCAATCACAATGGCTGTGCGCATCATCACCTTAAGCGACGAGTTAACGCTACAGGTGATTAGTTAGTTATTGTCCTTGTTGTTGCTTTTTAATATTGACATAAATTTTTAACTTTTAACAAAAAAAAAAAAAAGAAGAAGACAAAAACAAAAAACATTGACTGATAATTGATGAGCGCGAACGCGTTTAACTGAAAAGCAAACAACAAGCATTGGATTTACTGGTGTCAAGTACGACATAGATATCCACAGGCAGACCAACATCCAAACATCCAAACATACATATGTACGTTCATACCTACAGCGCTGGTAAAATTTCAAACACGAGCTTTTTAACTAGAGTTTCACTCACTCACATAGTGGCAGCTTATTTGTTGTTAATTGAATTTTAATATAATTTTTTTTTTCTTTCCTTCGTCTGCTTGTGTTGTATCATAGTCTAGTGTGTAGTTACTAGCTAACGCGAGGTCGTCAAGCCGGTCTGACTAAAATGAAATTGTTGAAATTTCGGCTCGAAAATTTGCCATTCCCTGCCGTATTGAGTTTCGCTTTTTTATATGCTAAACAAAGTACCACCGCCTTTGTGGTGGTGGTGGTGTTGGTGAAAAATGCATACCAATATCGGCAACAACAACGTGTATATAGAAAGGCATAAAGGCGAATTTAACAAGTTTTATCGAAGTGGAATTAATAAATATTTAATTGTTGGCTCTTTGTTATTCAAATATACATTAATTTATTTAATTTTTTTTTTCTTATATTTTTTATTCATACTACGTTAATGCAATATAAAAATTAAAGAAAAATATCGCCTAAATTGTTTTTTCGAACTTCAAATTTTATGGCATTTGCGAAAAACACAAAATAAAAAGTAAAAGTTATAGAGTACATATGTATTTGCTATATTGATAAAAAAAAATCGTTTGAGCGTATTTATGAACAAATTTTTTCAAAGTCATATTTACGAAAAAAAATATAAAATAAAAAAAATTAAAAAAAACAAGATAAAAGATAAAATAAAAAAAATCGAATTCGATAAAATTCTGCTATGAAAGCTTATTAAAGCGCATAAGCTGCTTCTCTTGAAATAAGTTGCCAATACAGCTTGGTATAGAAGCTTTAAAAAGCTCACTGCACTGAACTTTCCCATGGAGAAAAAATACGAAACAGAAAATTTAAATTAAAAAAAATTCCATTAATAATATCAATAGAAGTTGGGGTGTTTTTTAAACTAAATTGCAAATAAATTGTTAAAAAAGCGTTAAAAGCTCACTATTATTTAGCTTACTCATTAAAAAACCAAAATCAATTTTTTTTAAAATATCAATTTCCTTACAAAAGTCTATTTTTTATAATAATAATAATCATAAAAATAAATAATACCTCACAACAGAATTTCTAATGAAAGCTTTCAAAAGCTTGTGACAAAATGAAAATAAATTAATAAGAAAATTCTATTATGAAAGCTTTTGAAAATTCACAAAATAATAATCATATTAGAATAAAACCATTATATTATTTTATTTATTGAACTTTTGCTTAGTTTCTTATAATTTTTAAACTTATATTGTGTTGAGCGATTTTGTGAGATGCTCCCCTGCTTTAATAAAAAAACTTAACACTTGTTTGCTCATAAACCATTTAGAAAATCATTAACAGTTGGCACTTACCAGTAATCCCGTTTCCACGTTTGGAATCAATATAATTCTGGAACCATCCATAAGATTATTATCCTTTAATGTGCCATCCTGCAATTCTCTGTAAAGAAAATGCATTTTTTAGTAAACATTTTTAAATGCAAAAAAAAACAAAAAATATAAAAAAAAAACAAAAAATATAAAAAAAAAATATAAAAAATTATAAATAAAATAGCAAATAGAAATACTAATATTTTCTTTAAAATTCCAGACTACGAAAATTACATTCTTAAATGGAGTTTTAAAAACATCTCGAAAACAGTGTTATATTATCATCTTTTTTAAGTTGGTAAACTTAAAAGTTTGTTTGCATTAGAAGTTTTAAAAAATCATAAAAAATTTCATAATTGCTTTTGCGGCCATAAGTTTTTAGTGAGCGAAAGGCCTAGTTTGTTTGTGTCAATTGAATTTTTTTTTATATACATCAAAGAAAATGAAATGGCTGCTGTTTCGGAGATCTCCTTTCTTCTTTCACATCTCCTCATAAAGACTTCGTATGGCAGAGATCGAACCTACGGATCCTGACTTAACGATCTTGTTTTATTTGTAAGTAAAATCTTTTCTTCAATTTCTATTAATAAGTTTTTCGATGTTAAATTTTCTTTACTTACTTTTTTTTATAAATGTTTAAATTATTTAGACTTTTTTATACTTTTTTATTTTTTATAATTTTTAGTTTTTTTAATTTAATCTTTTTTGAATTCAATTACTTTTAATTTAATTTATTTTTTATTTATTTTTTTTTTAATTTAATTTTTTTATTTATTTTTTTTTTAATTTAATTTTTTAATTGAATTTTTTTTTTTAATTTAATTTCTTTTAATTTAATTTTTTTATTTAAATTTTTTCATAATTGTACTTTTACTATTTTTATAATTTTTTATTTTATTTTAATTTTAATTTAATATTTTAATTCAATTTTTTAATTTATTAATTACAAAATAATTTATAAATATATATTCTTTTATTTCTTATTAATATTTTATGTTTAGTTTTGTATATTTTTTAATATTCGATTCTACTCTGTACGTTTTTTTATTTCTTTATTTTCTTATTTTTCTTTCATGTTTTTATTTTTTAATGTTTCATTTCATTTTTCTAATATTTTTTTAATTATTCCTTTACTTTCTTATATTTTCCCTTTATTTTTCAAATTTGTTTCATATTTTTTAATTTTCTTTTACTGTGTTTAATATTCATTAAGTTCTTAATTATTTTATTAATTTCTTTTATTTTTGATTTTATTTTTTCTTTAAATTTCTTTTTTTATTTTTTATTAATTTTGTATTTTTTTCATTTTTTTCCTTTTATTTTTTATATTTTTATTTTTTGTTTTTTTATTCGTTATTTAAAAATTTTTATTTTTAATTTTAAATTTTTATTTAAATTTCCTTAATTTCTTTCATCATTTCTATTTTTTGTATTTTATTATTTTTCATATTTTATTTTTTTAACATTTATTTTTTAATTTTTTATATTTTTTATTTTTTTATTTTTTTAATTTTTTTTTTCATATTTTTGATTATTTTTATTTTTTTAAATTTTAATTTATGTTTTTAATTTTTTTTTTATTTTTATACTTTTTTTTATTTTTTTATAATTTTTTTTTAAATTTTATTTTTTTTTTATATTTTTTTTTATTTTTTTATACTTTTTTTATTTTTTTATATTTTTTTATATTTTTTTTTATTTTTTTATACTTTTTTTTATTTTTTTATACTTTTTTTAATTTTTTTATACTTTTTTTTATTTTTTTATATTTTCTATTTCTTATTAATATTTTTTATATTTTTAAACTTTTTTTTATTTTTTTATATTTTTTATTTTTTTTATATTTTTTATTTTTTTTATATTTTTTATTTTTTTTATATTTTTTATTTTTTTTATATTTTTTATTTTTTATATTTTTTATTTTTTTATTTTTTATATATTTTATTTTTTTTTTATATTTATTTTTTTTTTATATTTATTTTTTTATATATTTTATTTTTTTTTATATTTATATTTTTTATATTTTTATATTTTTTATATTTTTATATTTTTTATTTTTTTACAATATAATTTTTATTTTTTGTTATATTTTTTTATTTTTTATATTTTTTTATTTTTTTATTTTTTTATATTTTTTATTTTTTTATAAAATCTTTTAATTTTTTACAGTTTTTAATTTTTGTATATTTTAATTTTTTTAATATGCTTTAATTTTTTTTATATCTTTTATTTTTTCCATTTTTTTTATTTTTTAATTTATTTTTTTATTCGTATACGTCCATTTGAAAGTGAATTCACTAAATACCTTTAACAAGAAAGACGTAATAATTATCGTCAACGAAAAGTGAATGCACTGATTTTCGTATTAATGGTTTCACATTAGCCTTTAATCTTTACTCGAAAAGCGAATGTGTCTTTCTTTGTCTTGTTGTTGTCTGCTACACACTTTGTTGGTATTGTTGTTTAATATATTAACATGAATTAAGCAGTTCAGATTAAGATTTTTAACAAATTGATGTTGCATTAAGGAAACCTTTACCAGGAGTAAGTCGTATATGATCGTATGTTTGTATGTGTATTTTTCGACTTTATACAAAAATTTTTATATTCAAGCAGTTCAAGCACTCGAACTTCTCGTATGACAACTCTGCCGTCAACAAATCAGGCGACCAAGTGTCAAAAGTCGAGAGTTGTTCGATTATGCGGTGTATATACATATACATACATATATATATAGGAGTGTATGTAAATACATGTAGACATGTTCGCAAGTGGAAATAACACTTTTTATACATTCTGTATTTACTTTGAGGTGTTAAGCTGCGACTTGTGTGAAATGCATCCAGCTCCCCCTCCTCCTCTACCAGAGCATTGTAATCCTAGTTATTTGTTTTTATGATTTTCTTATTGAGCTGTGTGGAAATATTAAACAATTTGCCTGCAGTTGGCAGGTGTTAAATTTAAATTGACTAAATGTTATATTAAAATCAACAAGACTGTGCTTAATTAGTAGTAAAAAGGCGATGAGCACAAGTGAAAAAAATAAACAAAAAACTTGCTAAACTGGAACGCGATACATGATTTCGTGTATATGCCCAGACAAAAAGCAGATTTACTACAAAAGCATTTAGTACATATGTACTTTATTTAATATTTTGCTCCCATATTTTTTATTAAATTATTTACTACGAAAAATTTCGGATTAAATGAGCTAACCTGAATGAGCAATAAATCCAAAATTTGGATTTTTCGAAAAGATAATTTATTAAATTTATTATAATTGAAAAATTTATTTTTCAGTTATTATTTCTTTTTAATAATTTTACATTTAATATTTTTTTTATTTTAATGCGAATTATTAGTTTTATTTACATTACCGATTTTTTTAAGTAATTATTTTTTGAATATTTATTTGAATATTAGTTTTTTAAATTTATTACGTCTCTTTTTGTGCCATATTTGTATTGATATTATCGCATTTTTTAATTCCACTCACTAGCAGAAAATTGCCAAAATGGCTACAAAATGATTTTAGTGATTTTATCTCTGGAAGTTTAGAAGTAAATTTTTAAAAATTAAAATACTCTTAAATATTTTGAAAATCTTTTAATTAGTATTTATTTTCATCTTTTTAACTACATCCTTTGTTATTTCAATTATAACTAGCTTTTAGAATTTTCAAATATTGAACACAAACATGATTTAATTCAATTAAATAAATTTTTCTTCGGCAATTTCAAAAGGTTTTCATTATTTTATATTTGGCAATGTGTGATATACTTTTACAAAATTTTTAATAAAAAAAACATTAACACTTTTTAATTTTGTATATATGCATTTGTTTTTATTTTCATTGGTACATATTTCTTGAAACTATTTTATTTCATTTTTGTAACATTTTTCTTTAATATATATTTGTTTTAAATATATGTATATATATATATTTTAATACTTTTTTGAAATCAATATTTTTCAATTACAACATACTATATCAAAAATTTCTTTTTTTTTTTTTCATTTTTTGTATCACCCTGTTTCATTTGAGAAGGCAAAGTTAAAGAAGTCGATAAAATTTGCTTACGAAAACCACAAAGATTAATCACTAGTTTATAAAAGCTTATATATATTACGGCATACATATTTATATAATATTATTTTCAAAGGCACTATAAAAAAACCAAAAAGAAAGAAATAAATAAAATATAATGTACAGTTGACATTAAATGAAAATAAAATAAATTTTAATGTATATTTGACAATTTCTTGCACGACTTTTATGCGACTTACTTAATATGCCTTACGAGTATACGTATGTACAATATATTTTCTGAAGCATTTGCACTTTACTTACAATGAGCAAGAGAATTTACAAAATTCAAAAACGACAAAACCACAAATGAAATACTTGGACAAAGAATAATCAAAATGTAATAACCAGAACGCAAACAACAAGTGATTAAAAAAAAAAAAACAATTAAAATAAATAAAAAATTAAATAAATAAATAAAAAATGTTTACGAAAATTAACGAAAAACTGTAAAAAAAAATTATACAAAAACCGAATTAAGCTGATAAAGCTGGAATTTGATTAACCTTTTTTGTATATTTACATTTACTGTGTTGCAATTCACCAGACTTACTTTATTTGAGGTGTAAATAAATGAAATTTAATGAAAAAAATTTAATGTAAGGAGAAGGTAGTGTAGAATGCGCTTGGCGTCTTAAAAATCAAGTATAAATAGGTGATATTTATTTTTTGTGTTTATAAGATAAAAGTTGAAAGTAGATATCATATTTATTTAAATGTATATATATATATGTACGTGTATACATACGCAAAAGATGTTTGCAGTTATTGACTACAAATACAAAAAGAAAAAATTTTTAAATGTTGCCGATGCAATTTCATAATAAGAAGGAACTGAAGAAGATTTATTAAACTAAAAATAAGTAAAAAAACTAAAAAAAAATTCGTAAAATATAAAAAGATTATTTGAAGCATTATATAATATTATAACATAAATTAGAATAAAATAAAAAGAAAATGGAAATTCGCATACATATATCAAA